TAAAACCACAATGAGATATCACCTCACACCAGTTGGGATGGCCACCATCCGAAAGACAAACAACAACAAATGTTGGTGAGGTTGTGGAGAAAGGGGAACCCTCCTACACTGCTGGTGGGAATGTAAATTAGTTCAACCATTGTGGAAAGCAGTATGGAGGTTCCTCAAAAAACTCAAAACAGAAATACCATTTGACCCAGGAATTCCACTCCTAGGAATTTACCCTAAGAATGCAGGAGCCCAGTTTCAAAAAGACAGATGCACCCCTATGTTTATCGCAGCACTATTTACAATAGCCAAGAAATGGAAGCAACTTAAGTGTCCATCAGTAGATGAATGGATAAAGAAGATCTGGTACATATACGCAATGGAATATTACTCAGCCATAAGAATAAAACAAATCTTACCATTTGCAACAACATGGATGGAGCTAGAGGGTGTTATGCTCAGTGAAATAAGCCAAGCGGAGAAAGACAAGTATGAAATGATTTCACTCATCTGTGGAGTATAAGAACAAAGAAAAAAACTGAAGGAACAAAAGAGCAGCAGAATCACAGAACCCAAGAATGGACTAATAGTTACCAAAGGGGGAGGGACTGGGAAGGACGGGTGGGAAGGGAGGGATAAGGGGAATACAGGGCATTACGATTAGTACACATGGTGTGCATGTGGGGCACGGGGAGGGCAGTATAGCTCAGAGAAGACAAGTAGTGATTCCATAGCACCTTACTAGGCTGATGGACAGCGACTGTAATGAGGTATATGGTGGGGACTTGATAATGGGGGGAGTCTAGTAACCATAATGCTGCTCATGTAATTGTACATTAATGATATCAAAAAAAAAAGTTTGAGGATGCTTCATTTTCCTAAGATGGATATTTTTTCTTACTCCACAGATGCTACGCTCATCACCAGGGTGTATCTGGGTTGAGGTAAGCCTTTCCTTTTCTTCTTCATTAACACAAATCAGACCCAGTTGAGGCCTCCCTTTTCCTTGGGGCTTCCTCAGGCCTCCAAACACATTTAATTCAGTGAGAGAGAGGTGGGGGGGATAGGATGTAAATTAGAGCTACCTATTTGAAGTTGGGAGACCTAAGGTCTAGTCTTCATCAGTTAGCAGCCCCAGGACCCTAGCTAAGTCATTCAGTGTCCCTGAGCCTTGTTTCTTTATTTGTAACACAAAGAATTAACCCCTTCCTTACTGCATAGGGTCTGTGAGGAAGAAACACAGTACACATTCTGTTAAAAGCACAAGGCGCCCACACACGCGTTCCCACCACTCCCGCAATGCCTCGCTTTACTTTGTAATCTACTAGGGGTTTCTGGCCTCCTAACTGTTTCCTAATTATTTCGGGAATCTAAGTTTCCTCTCCCCAACTAGAGATCCACTTCTCAAGGCAATACTTCTACCTTATTTCTACTGAGACCAAAACACTTAATACTTAACTGATGTCAGTTCACACACAGGGAAATTAACCACTGGTTCTCTCCAAATAAACAACATGAATACTATTTGGACAGAATGGAGGTAGCACAGAAAGATAAAGAAAGGGAGGTAAGAACCAAAAAGAGAACGAGACATTTAGCTCTTTCCAAAATGAGGATTTAACCCAAGCTGGCAAACAGTAAATTAATGCAAACTGGAGGAAATGACAGCTGCTGAACCAATCTTCTTTCCTTTTATGAAACCTACTCCCTGAAATCTGGGCAAATTTACATACACAGTTGCCAAATTAGCAGCTGATTGTAAGTAAGAATGAGCCAGTTATGAATTCATGATATAAGTTTTACAAATATTTCCATTAATCAAGGCATCACTTATCAGGAAAATCATGCACTGATGTGAGAGACTCCCATCAAACAGAATTGTGAACTAATCTAAGGGGACTCACGTTAATCTTTTCATAGACAAAACAGCATGTCTAATAAGGTCCCAATTAAAAATGGATAAAAAGGACTAAGAAATGAGGTCTCCCTTGAAGGATGCTGACCTGCATGTTATCTGTTAAGTTGTGGGGACAGTGAAAGGGATAATTCCTGAATTTGGAGCGACTCCTGCAGAGGGGTAAAGAAAAGTAGTGTCTGTGGAGCACCCAGAGGCATCATCCCAGAAGCCCTGCAGGGTGCCAGCATGCCAACTCCCAAAGGCAGCTCAGCGGCACTGTCATCACCTCTAAAACCGCAGAGCCTGTGGCTGGGGGGACAGTGGGGGTTGTCAAGGTTCCCCAATGAGCCAGAAGAAAAGTCCTTTGGCCGAGGATCCTCCCCTCTCCATGCACGGCCTCCGCAGGCCTGGCTGGGCTGCAGACACTTCCCGCCCCTGGAGTAGGGGTGGGTGAGGGGCCATGTGGTTTGAGCAAGAAAGAGGACTAAGTCACGTGAGCTGGGAGCCCGGCTACAGATGGAAGCAGGAAAGCGGTACCTGCTGCCCCCCCCCCCCACCAGCCCTACAATTTGCCACTGGCTCCCAGACGGAGTGGTGTCCTTCCGTCCCCCGTCCCCCACCCCTCCACCATTGATTCTCAGGGCTGTCAGAGGTACTTTTGTCCTGGGTCTGGGGAACACTGAAAGGCTCTAGAATTCTCAAGCATTGTGACATGAACCCAGGGACTGCATACCATCCTGCAGAAACATGGTCTGTGTATCAGACCTCACAGGATGATGAGCAACTGCAAGATCCGGGCTGTGTCATGGTCATTTCTGATGCTTTGCACGTAGCGCATGGTCAGTATGTGCTGAAGTGGGTGTGATGGCAAAGACTACTTCACATTTACTGTGGCAGCTACCCTCCGCCAAGCTGGGGAAGCAGTTTACACCCCACTACCATGAGCTGGAAGGCTTCTGCTTTCTCTAATTCATGTTTTGCCTCTCACAAGAGACTAAACGCTGCAAGACCTATTAAGTCTCAAATACTTTAGATCCCCCAGAGCTGTGTCTCAAGAATACTAAATAGGATTAAGTCTTAAAACATTTTAAAATGAGCAACGAAAAGTAATTTCAAGACACAAGTAATTCAATCTCCTACAAGACACTAGCATTTTAACGAAATATTAACTACACATACCGTGTGGTTGGGAAAGGTTCTGTTCTAATTACTTGCCTAGGTGTTTACAACTCCACAAAGGAAGAACTCTGTTGGGCTGAACCTGCAAAGTGTGGGCGTTTGGAGGAAAAGGAGAAATGGGCTTGCAAAGTGTGTGGGTTGTGGGCACACTAAGGAAAAAATAAGGTCAATTTTAGCAGTGATCAAACAAAAATAAGTTAAAAACTTAAAGTAAATGAGTTCTAGTCCTATCTCCAACACTGACTTGAGGAAAACTGCTTATTTATTCAGGGCCTTTACAGAAGGAAAAGGACCAAGTAATTTTTTGAGTAGCATTAAAAAAAAGATAAACCCTCTATGCTCAATCGAATATCACTGCGTTAGATCCTGGCCAGGCTCTGCGTGCTCAGTCCCTCGAGGGACCTACAGTGTAAATGACACCAAGGTGCAGGCCCTCTACTACTCACTAGTACACAAGTGCAGTGCAACTATACCCGTGACATGCTCACTGCTGGCACAGAACATGTGGCCACAGACAGTTGGTACTGGTGATCTAGCAAATCACGTCCAGAGGCCAAATGAATGACAGAGCTTGCCAAATGTATTTTAGAATCAGCAAGATATTTATGCTAGGGTTCCAGCTAAGGGCAGGGACTAGGGTCCACTTGGGATCACCCATTACTGACAGAATGTCTACCCATGAAGGCTGACTACTGCCACCCACCAGCTTCTCCTGTGATGCAGCCAGGATAGCCCAAGATGCCTATTCAATCTATTTTGTATCCTTTGATGAAATTAGGATCCTGTGAGCTCAGTGCTGTCTGTACAGAATAATTTATACCTGAGCTAGGTGCCTGAGTTCACTCTCAACAACTGTCAAACCCTGTCTGTCTGCTAGTAGATAGAAACCGCCAATTGGGAAGGTTGGTGAACACTGCAACATTTACTGCACAGCTTCTAAGACCAGACAACATATGATAGATAGGTATCCGTTTATGAAATGGCTCAACTCTTTCAGCTCTGATTCCTTTTTAAAACAGGTTGTATGCTTAAAACTATATTTTGCAAAGAGAAAGATGAACACTTGCCCTCACGTCAGGTCACTATAACCTCAGGAAAATGGGTCACAGCAAGACCTGGGACCAGTACTCCCTCCTATGAGGTTCCTTTTTGCCCTGACAGAGACCTGGAGGAACATGCCCGAAGCAGCAAGCTACTCACTTCCACTTCTGGTCTAGAAGAAAGATGAACCTTTGTCACATTATTTTGACAAACTTTTCCTAGATAAATGTGATATACAGAATACTGAAATAGGGGCAATCATATCTTATTCTTTTTCTCATTTATAGAACCAATTACATGAAAGTGCTCAGTAAAACAGCTGTGAGACTCAAGCAAAACAGGAGTCAAGTTGATAATCAGGTGCAATGAGTCAAGCAGGAACAGAAAAGTTTTCCTGTTTGCGGTTTGCAGCATCTTAGACAATGGAGAAAGAAACTTGAGACGTCCCAAGAGGCTGATGCCTGTCCCTGCTCAAGTTGACAACTTTTGTTTTAAAATAGTTTTTCTAAATTTAATTACAGCATCGGGCCACCCTAATAATATTCTATTTAGTGCTACTCAGAATCTTATAAAACTCACAAGACTTTAAAATAGTGAATCCACAGGCACGTGACTACCAGACCTACATCACTCATAACCACGGACCATGCAACCATAACCTGGTCCTCCAGGGGTAGCTACAGCAAACATCCGGAACAGAAAAGCAGAAACCACATCACAGATTCAGACTTTCATGCTACCGCCAGAATCCCAGTACTCTGTCTATGGCCATTAGGAGAAAACAGCTCCACTCTTCTTCGTTACTGAGAGCTTTTATTTCCCCAGCAAAGCTGTCGCCCCTGAGCTCCTCTGAGGACATTTTTTGGAATATTTCCATTTCATAAAGATTGCTTACGTGTGGTGTGTTCCAAATGCAATATCCAACTTTGCCTAGGATGAAAAAGAAGTTCAGTCACTTATTTTTTAAAAACACAATATCCCTATTTATTGGAAATCAAATTAAAAATCATTCAGGTCAGTTTTTTAAAAACTGTTTTTTACTGCCCTCTAGTGGACAGGCTGTTGATTGACGACACAGCTTTTCTAACAGCACCTAGAAAGGCTCATTTTTAATAAAAACATTAGAGGAAAAAAAAGCTACCCAGAATGATTCAAAACATACTGTATTTTTAATTACAATAATTAGAAGTGAGAAGCCTAACTTCTTTAGTTGTCAAAGAAACAAGACTATACAAAGTTTTAAAATTAGATATTTGGCTTATACAGAAATTAGTATATACAAAGTTTTCAGAGCATATTTAAAAGAAACACGGAATATAGTGGCAACATAAAGGCTTCTATGTTAATACATAAGTTTTCTTATACTGAAAACAAGCAAGTACTAGAAATAAAGAGATAATAAATACATAGTACATGGATGGAGAAGTAAAACATTTATCTAACATCTAGTACAGTGAGACTTTGGTTAAGCAGAATATACCTCAAGATGGAAGCTGTGAGTCAAATAGTAATGTCAAAACTAGCTTAACAGTCAGAAGTACAGTGTATACACAATCCTATTTTCGCAACTTTGCATAACTTTGGAAAATACTTAAATCTCTATGCCTCATCTTCCTCCTCTGTGAAATGAGAGTACTATTAGAAGATTCAGAGAGTTGTTAGGAGTAAATGAAGAAGTTCTGTTGAAGTGCTTACAAAAGAGGCCTGCACTGGGTAAGCACTCTGCAAATAGAAATACTGGTAAAATCAAGCCTCCCCCCGCCACCCCAACATGTCAGACGGGTGGACCTGTTTGCTGGAGGCAGTGATGGGCAGTCAGCACACAGGTGAGTAGGGCATGGCCCCTGCCTTGGGGATGCTCCCCATCAGGTGGCCCAGTTCACTCCCACACCCCGTGTCTGGGGATGCTCACAGACCAGCATGCATCTGTGTGGTCTGGCCACGGGAGAGCAGGGAACTGAACTTCGTGTCTTTAAGATTACAAAATTAAAATGTAGACTGCCACTTTGTCAATCGATATTTAGCTCAGAAAAAGCAATGGTCAAGAGACTTGGCTTTTGAGCTTAGCATTGCTGGAAGTTATGTGCTCTTGGGCAAGTCTCAGCAAAAAAACAAGGATGATATTAACTTCAACAGATAATATTTAATGGGTGATTTTTTTGAGGCAAATGCACCAAATCCTTTGCACAGCAATGTTATGAAGAGAATACTAGCAATCATTTTAAAGACAAAACTTAGGGGTAAAGAAGTTAAGTGATGGGCCCAGAACGACCAAGCTAGTAGGTGGAGAGCTGGGGCAGAACCCTGGCAGTCTGAACCTTGCCCACAACAAGGCCTGTCTGTGGCCTTAGGCTCCATGTAGGCAAAATGGGACAAATGTCAGCATCCACTGATTATTTGCTTAATCATATCTCAGCTTAATCGAACGACACTGTGCTGCTAAAAAAAAAAAAAAAAAAAAAGAAAAAATAGTGAAGAGTTTATCTTACAAAGGTATTATAACAGGTCAGGATGGGGCTGCAATCCTGTATCTGAAACTAGAGCTGGGCGCTTTTGAACAGCTCTTTGCAGGTTGGAAAACAGAGGCTCGTTCCGCCCCCTAGTGGCCAAGCTGGAGAACGCCACCAGCCGCGCCACAATGTCTAACATTTTCACCGTACGTAGGTAACAGCTGAAAAACTTTGTATTTCCACCTACTTCACCACTAGTTTTCAAGATTTGTGTGTTATTTTTTTTCTGCTCACTATTAATCTGATGAGAGCTATCTTACTGCAGTTTAACTCCTTCTATTTTTGGAAACAAAGGCAAAACAATGGGATTTTAGGCAACTGTTCAGCAAAGGTGTATCTCTGTAGAGGTGAACCACAGTTCAGGTGAAAGAATGGAGGATTTAGAACTTCAACTGTATAAACTACGGTGGGCTAAATCACAGGGAAAATGTGAGATTTAAAATTGATCAGATTGAGATTCTTCACTATTTTAATCTTTAAAAAAATACACACATGGATAGCAATTTTTAGTTGGAAGAACAATAAAAAATGAGTTGAAGTTCTTATATCAGTGGGGGGGAGAAGACACTAGAAGTAAAAATGGGGGGAAAAATCTAGGTTCTATGTAATTCACTCTCTGTACCCCAAGAGCAGAAATCTTGAGCCAATTTCACTATGGCCAGGGGAAAAAAGGGCTAGAAAAGTATCTTTTATCATGGTTGCTCATGAATGGACTGATCAACCTGCTAAGAAAAATAGGAAAAGGTGAACATTACACCAACCATTTCAGAACCACCATTTCCACAGGAAGAAAGTCATTAATACATTAAAAAATTCTTGCTTTCTCCCCCAAGTTTGCCTACCTCTTGTACAAAATGCAAATATAAGATTCTTTCAGACATGGACTCTAAAGCAACTGGTTATAACAAAAGTCCAAGATTCAGTGGTCTCACTGTATTTCCATGTATCGACTGGGAACTTATAGCACAGAATTATGGGAATATATAAAGAACCTGGGCAAAACTGTCTGGCCTACTCTTCCACTCTGGTCCTAGGAAACCAACCAGATAGCCTGTTGTGTGATCAATACCCTCTCATTGGGCTTGGAAGACACACAGTATGCAGCTCACACAGGAAATTCCCAACAGGTTTGATTTTAATCTCTGGGGCTCTCCAGTATGGACTGCAGCTGTAATTCATGTGACAAAGAATAGGGCTGTGGGTAAAGTGCCCATGGCAGCTGACAGAAGTTGGCTAAGTCATCACATTAAAAATGAATGGTTTAAAGCTGCACTTACAGGACACTCACAGCAAGAGTCACTGGACTGCACCTAGGTGACCAACTGTTCCATGCTACAGCCCAGGCTTTGAGAGGGCGGCTGACAAACTAGATGCACACAGAGGAGTAAGAGCAGGCTGGGGAAAGACAGGGGAGCCAGCGTATGTCCAGTACCACTGAAGAAAGTAAATGATGGAACCAGGAAGAGAAAAAACTAAGGAGATAGAATATATGCCTTCAAGTACAAGAGTCATGCACATGTGCAAGGGGATTTTTTCTAAGTGACTCCAGAGGGAAAATTAGGACCCAGGTATGGCAGGTACAAGGAGAAAGACTATGACAGATAATCTGGTGGGTCAACTGTAACCAGATATGTGGTTAGATGTTGGCATGAAGGTATTTTTCAAATGAGATGAACATTTCAATCAGCAGACTATGAGTGATTCAGAGGTTAGCCTCCACAGGGTCAGTAGGCCTCATTCGGTCAGTTGAAGCCTTAAATGGAAAAAGACTCCCCTCAAAGAAGAGGGAATTCAGTCTCCAGCCTGCCTTTGGACTCAAAGTGCAGCATCAACTCTTCCCTGGGTAGTCTGCTGGCCTACCCTGCAGATTATGGACTTGGCAGCTTCCACAATCACATGAGCCCGTTTCTTGAAATAATCTCTCTATCCACACACACCACATATTGGTTCCGTTTCTCTGGAGACCCCTGACTAGTAGAGATACTAGGTCAACATAAAGAAAAAAATCACTAACCACAAAGGCTACCCACAAATAGGATGCGCTGTCCCAGGAAGTGTTTAAGTCACAGCTAGACAAGTACCCACTGGTGATGCTGCAGAGAGGATGCCTCCAGTAGGCAGATGAGGACACTAAATGTCTAAATTCCCTTCCTCAGACAAAGCATCGTCTCAAATGGCAGTAAGTAGCTTACCTGGCAGAGAGAAATGTTTTCATAAGGCTTGGCCTCCGCTTGTAAGTGAGCCTTAGCCTCTCTTTTATCACCGTGCACAAGCAGGAGGGGCTTCTTCCTGAAAAGAGAGAGGACATATTTAATTAAAATATGTCTCTCATAAAGCTGGACTCCTACCTAACTAAGCAATGGTAGCTTCCTTACCGCCTGACATGTGCTTCCGGCTTTCTGGGTGACCAGGCACACTAACACGGAGCAGGGATCTGCTCACCTTCACTGACCAGTCACCTTTACCATGGCACTGTGGGGTCTGATCCTACTGTGACCCTGCGGGGTTGTGACTCAGGGAGTCCTTTAGTAATTTTCTTTTTGGTCCAAAGGGCACATAGTTAGCTCTGTGTTAGTATATTTAAATTCAAACAGATGAAAAGATATACAATTATTGTTGTCTTATATGATGTTCTTTTCTTTCCCTTCTTTTGGACCAAGCAATAGGTGGTTTTTTCACTATACCTATGTTTACTAGGTATTATATTATACTAAACTGCATGCCAGGTGCTGCATCACACCCCAGGACACAAGAATGATCAGGCCAAGGCCCACGGCATGATGTAGACTCATTAGTTCAATGAAATAGAGCTCCAGGTACATTGAAAATGCTGATTTTTAGTTCAAAGGACAATATAAACACATTCTTCAGGAATAGGATAAAAAGGCTTTTAAGGGAACCATGATCTTCTTCAGTTAATTCAAAGCAAGATAGTCCTTAGAAATCAATATATCTTTACAAGCTCTCCTGATGAAACAAACATTGGATTTTTCTGCAACAAGCATTCAAGCAAGATGAACAACTGCAGCCACTCCCACAATTACCAATCACGTACAAGGGACAATATTCAACTAAAAAGAAACATCATGGGTGGCACGTCACTCTGCAATGCCATCCTTGGTCCGCACTGCCTAACACCTGGCTGAGCAACTGCAGAAGACACACCGAAAACCCATCACCTTCATAACCTGGATAAAGGGAGGCATTAGGGCGCCTTAACTCTGAAACTACAGGAGAATCACTTGTGAAACAAAGGGATTCTCAAGAATGAACAGCATGGATGGGCTAAGGGAAGCATGCCTTGCTCACAGGTTTAGAAAGCAGGGGGCAATGATTTTTTCCTTCACATGAACACTGGACATACAGTTTTTTGGATTGGAATTTTTTCCTTATTTGTTTCTGGACAGAGCAACACAAGGAAATGCTAAAATCTATATTTGTAATGTATATGATTAGGTTGAATGGATCAAAAAATGCTGTTTTCCCAATGTAACTTAATGTATGATTTCAATATTTTCAAAAGAAAGAAGATGGATTGTGGCTGCCTGAGAAACATACATCTTGTGTTTCAAAGCCCCATTACAATCACGATGCCATCTCTCATCGTGTGGAACTCACCTGAACTCCGGTGGATACTGTCTTATGAGCCAGTCCACGTCAAAGCAGTAGTTAAACTAGATGGGGGAACAAGAAAAGGAACTAAGTCGTGGGTAATTCAGCCAAGTGGTCCAAGAGAACTGTTCAGTTACTGAATTTAAGAAACACCACTAATGATGAACTATATATATTATTTATAAACTGGACAGTTACACTACAATTCTAATAAACCTACAATACATCCTTGTAGGGAATACTTGGTTCAAGGAATCTAAATCAATGGAATGCATGAGAAAACAGGTTCTAAGGAAATTATCTGCTTGCTTTGGCAGCATTTATTTGTAAACAGAATTATTATAATTTCTAAGAGCTCTCTAATTTAAACAACTAATTAATTAAATATAATTTTTGTTACATCCCTCCTCCCCTTGGTATTGTAAGAAGGACTTTTAGAAAAGAACATTTCTTTTCAGCCTTACAAGCTAGCTTTACAAACAGATCTCTGACGAGATATTTGCTAGCTTTATAACAATTACATCTCGACTACAAGCTCTGTCCTGGACCCACCCAAGGGGACTCCTTCCCAGGCCTGGGTAATCCCTGGCCCTCCTCCTGGGCACAGTGATTCAGTCCAGCCAGGAGAACACACACAAATTCACCCCCGCCCCAGCTGGAGACCAAGGTTCCCGAGGCCACGCCGAAACCAAGTGCACGGAAAGCTTTGCTTTCTTCAGGGACATGATGGCTTTTTCAGACTATTGATTGTGAGCCTGGAGCAATAACGTCATTTATCAACACGGAGGGGCAGCTCTGCCAGGCAGGAGCACTCAGACACGCACAAGTATCCATAACTTTTCACTCATCTCTTTTTGGTAGGTGTAGGAAATGTCTTATTTTTCTAACTCAAATCACACTTGACTTGGTCTTCCCCTCTGTACCCACACCTCCCTGGGGAGTTGCATCAGCATCCTGAAAGATTATCATGTGTCCCAAAAATTGCCAAAGGGACTTCTTGGCCAATCACTGTGATGCAACCCAGAGCCAGAACCTCCACCAGTAGTGACATCCACGCTCTATGCTGATATGGTGTGGACCCCACAACTGCATGGTACCAGCCTCCAGCTATGTTCCATCTCGGGGACCCTGCAAAGGAAAAAGGCACTGGTCCCCACCACTCATAATTTCTCATAGCGCTGTTTAATTATTCATTCCCTTTCACCCAGAGGAAAACTACTTAACCATAAACTCACCTGAGCTGAAGATACAAGTGTCCCAAAGAGAGGAGATAAAATATCTGAGAAGACAAAACATTTACATCTAATTCATATTTTGATAAAAACTGTCTAGTAATCACAACGGACTTTTTAGTCAGTGATGACCAAAATTTGAAAACAGTGAAAAGTGACTATAAAGCTAGACTTTAATGTTCCATGAAATTCAAGAGAAAATTTCTGAGCTATTTAAGAGCATGTTTTCCTCAACAAAATATAATGTAATACTAAAATCTACCCCATCAGCCCTGGATGACTTGGTCAATTTTAGAAACTGTTAATAAGGACAATGAAGATGCATATTCCTTCTTCTTTCTAGATCTCTCTAGTTTTTACCTTCTTCAAGTCCCTCTCTGGAAACCTCCCCAGCCTGAGCCTAGCAAGATGGTTCTCCTCTGGGGCCTCTGGTGAAGGAGAGAGCAGAGGCACCCACACCTCCAACCTGACGTTCCTAGCATTCCAGGTCTTCTCCGAGAAGGCCTCACCTCGCATTAATCCCTGGCCCTCCTCCTGGGCACAGTGATTCAGTCCAGCCAGGAGAACACACACAAATTCACCCCCGCCCCAGCTGGAGACCAAGGTTCCCGAGGCCACGCCGAAACCAAGTGCACGGAAAGCTTTGCTTTCTTCAGGGACATGATGGCTTTTTCAGACTATTGATTGTGAGCCTGGAGCAATAACGTCATTTATCAACACGGAGGGGCAGCTCTGCCAGGCAGGAGCACTCAGACACGCACAAGTATCCATAACTTTTCACTCATCTCTTTTTGGTAGGTGTAGGAAATGTCTTATTTTTCTAACTCAAATCACACTTGACTTGGTCTTCCCCTCTGTACCCACACCTCCCTGGGGAGTTGCATCAGCATCCTGAAAGATTATCATGTGTCCCAAAAATTGCCAAAGGGACTTCTTGGCCAATCACTGTGATGCAACCCAGAGCCAGAACCTCCACCAGTAGTGACATCCACGCTCTATGCTGATATGGTGTGGACCCCACAACTGCATGGTACCAGCCTCCAGCTATGTTCCATCTCGGGGACCCTGCAAAGGAAAAAGGCACTGGTCCCCACCACTCATAATTTCTCATAGCGCTGTTTAATTATTCATTCCCTTTCACCCAGAGGAAAACTACTTAACCATAAACTCACCTGAGCTGAAGATACAAGTGTCCCAAAGAGAGGAGATAAAATATCTGAGAAGACAAAACATTTACATCTAATTCATATTTTGATAAAAACTGTCTAGTAATCACAACGGACTTTTTAGTCAGTGATGACCAAAATTTGAAAACAGTGAAAAGTGACTATAAAGCTAGACTTTAATGTTCCATGAAATTCAAGAGAAAATTTCTGAGCTATTTAAGAGCATGTTTTCCTCAACAAAATATAATGTAATACTAAAATCTACCCCATCAGCCCTGGATGACTTGGTCAATTTTAGAAACTGTTAATAAGGACAATGAAGATGCATATTCCTTCTTCTTTCTAGATCTCTCTAGTTTTTACCTTCTTCAAGTCCCTCTCTGGAAACCTCCCCAGCCTGAGCCTAGCAAGATGGTTCTCCTCTGGGGCCTCTGGTGAAGGAGAGAGCAGAGGCACCCACACCTCCAACCTGACGTTCCTAGCATTCCAGGTCTTCTCCGAGAAGGCCTCACCTCGCATCAACCCCAGCTTGACTTCAGACAGGCCAGAAAGCTCACGGCTCAGAAACCATGGCCATGAGGAAGGACACGAGCCCCACCACCACGATGACAGCACCCACACTTGTCCAGGGCCTATTGGGCGCCAGGCACCATTCTTGGCACCTGCTGTGTGTGAACTCTTACTCCTCACGGCCATTCTGAGGTGGGTCTGTCATTCCTGTTTGTAGGTAAGTCTCTCCTTAGGAGGCTGCCCAGGGCCGCACAGCCAGGGAGGGGCAGAAGAGGGGTTTGAATCTGTGTGGTTTGCTCCAGCACTTCTGTGGTGACCCAACTGCCTCTGAGGATGAAGAGGCTCTTTCATTTACCTGGCCCACGGTTACCGAGCGTTTCCTGCCTTCCAGACATGGAGCAACATGGTGGGGAACAGAGCTTGAAGAACAAAGAAGGCCTCTTACAGAAGCTCCTGCTTTTATGAGAGAGTTGCACCATCAAGAGATGAATTAAGACATTCCTTGATGGCATCCTCCACCTTGCTCCTCTTTCTACCTTCCTGAATTTTACTCATCTCTCAAGGCCCGTCAGAAGTCGTTCCTCCATGAGATCTTCTAAGAAGTCTATGATATGCATACACTACGCCACATGTACCAGTCCATACATTAGAGTGGTATAGCCAACAGTTAACAGGATGGATTCTGGTGCCAGAATGCCTGGATTCGAGCCTCAGCTCTACCATTTACCATGTCTGTGACCTTGGACAGGTTAATCAACCTCTATAAATGGCAGATCTGTCACCTATCCAAGGAGGACACCTGCAACATTTACCTCTAAGGCTGTTGTAGGGATTAGAGGAGGTAATCTATGTGAAAGCTTCTATCATGTTACCTCTCACTCCTTAGTATTTTGGCACTAAAGGTCAGTCTTTCTCATTTTATTATATACAGAAAAACGTTGCAGTTCTCTGATTTCCTGTGACAATCTCTCTCAAAACAAAAAACAAGAGAACTCTTTTTTCTTCAAAGTACCTAGACAAGAGTCTCAAAAAGAAAAAAAAAACCTATAGAATCAAACTCCCTACAACATGGGATTAAATATGCCAACATTTATATTTAAAGGCATAATATTCAGTTACATAGTTCATATGTAATTTAAAAACTCTTGTCAGTGATCATAACCTTTCTTGAATGTGGGCCAGAGAGAAGGTAGTCAGAAATAAGGGCAATGTTTATTTTGTGTATCTGCCATGTTAACCTATTGTGCTGGTCACTTCATGTATTTTTTCCCTTTTCTGAATGCCCAGTTTAAAGGTGAGTAAACATATTCAAAGTACATTAGGTCTTTTGTTAACTACCCACACAGCAAGTGAGAGTTGAGGCCAGGACTCAAATCCTGTCTTGGACTCTTGTGCTCCTGCTGTTGCCCCTTAAAGAAACTGTCTCCTCTCTACTCTCAATCCTTCTGACAACAACTGCGTGGGTTTCCCACACCAACCAATTCTCTGATTCTCTGCTGATGCCACTATCATGTAATTTAACGCAATTCTGACACCATCCACTAGGAGTTGGCATCACATTCCACAGGTTAAAGGTTCAGTCCCACCAGACCGCCCCCACCACTGCGCATCTATAAATAGGCTATAAATCAGGAGCTCCCACAAAACCCCTTCATTTGCTAGAGTGCCTCACAGAATTCAGGAAATCACTTTACTTACTAGATTTCCAGATTGTGAGAGGACATAACTCAGGGACAGCCAGGTGGAAGAGATGCACAGTGCGAGGTATGGGAGGAACGGATGCAGAGCTCCCACGCCCTCCCCGGGTCCACCTCATGCACCTGCCTGTGTTCACCAGCCTGGAAGCTCTGTAAACACCTTCAGTTATGGTTTTCTAAAGAGGCTTTTTTACAGAGGCAGGGCTGACTAAATCACTGGCCATCAGCAATTAACTAACTCAACCTCCAGCCCCTCTCTCCTCTCTGCAGGTAGGGAGTGTGGCTAAAAGCACCAACTTTCATCGCATGGTTGCCCAGCAACCAGTCCCCTATTCTTAGAGGCTTTCCAAAAGTCACCTCATTAACAAACTCAGGTGTGGCTGAGACAGGCTTGTTATGAGTAACAAGAGATGCTCCTTTGACCTTTATTACTTTGGAGCTGTTTAGAAGCCCATCTTTCCGTTTAGAACTGAAACGTCTATTTGCGCACTGGCATTGTTTTTTGTTCTTTTTTTTTTTGCTTCTTCACAAGGAGCCCAAACCAAGCAATAGTTCTCAAATTTGATCAGGCATCAGAATCCCCTGAAAGGCTTGTTTAAACACAGATGGCAGAGCCCAGAGTTTGAGTGAGTGAATCCTGGTGGAAGGGGAGGGGTTGGCAGGGAGCCAGAGAATTTGCATTTTTAATAAGTGTTAGGTGTGGCTGAAGCTGACGATGCTGCCTGCTGTCGAGTTATTTGATATTTTGTCAGTGAAGTGTTACTGGTCAAATTCAATCTAGAAGAGTTAAATCATTCTAATCATCATGCTAAGTGCTGCCCTCTTTGATCTACAGGGCTAAGAAACACCCTCTGACTTCCTAATTAAAGTTTGCCATCAAGCTAATGCACGTCAAAATGGTGTTTTGTTTTTTTTGTCCTGAGAGTAAGAGCACAAAGAACGGTTGTTGGCGATCATTTCATTCTAGGCTATCCTCCTGGCTTTCCGGAGGGGAACCCTCTCCAGTGCAGCTGGCACCCCCAACACCCAGTATCCACCTACCCTTGATGTGGAGGGCTCTGGAGTTGTATTTGGGCTTGATTCCCGAGACTCGAGTGAGGTAAAATTGGAAGGGGTTCCCTTTATCCAACATGTCCCAAATGTCCTGGCCCTCCCCTGAGGTCTCATACTGGTCTTCCTCCTCTTTGAGCCTGTGGGGGGTGGGAGGTCCATGATTTCCAGTTTTCTGGGCAGCACTGTGTTTGGGGAAAGAGACATCTTTCTCCTCTTTGACGACCACTTTCTGGGCCCGCTTCTGCTTCGTTTCCGGCTGCAGCTCGTCATCACTGCTGGAGAGACACCAGCCCGGGTCTTCTTGGGAACCACTCTTCTGCCTTTTGGGAGGTGAAACTTCTGAAACTGAATCTGTGTTGAATTTCACAGGTGATACTTTCCCTCTGCGGGCAGCTTTCCTAGCCTCGGAGCAGGTGTACCTCGGCTCAGGTGCTGCTCTCTGCCCAACGTCGAGGAGAAGAGAGGTAGATGGCTTGTCCAGTTTGGGCTTTTCCTCCTCACTTTCATCGCTACTGGATATTGTCCACTTCCCATAATCACCTTCCTGAGACATTGTGCTTTTCTGGAAATGAAAGTGAGAAATACCATTATTTTCCAGTTAACAGGCCACTGGAAAAATCACTCTTGCTCTCAAAGTCCCTATCATGAGCTCCCGCAACTCACACAGCACACCTTACTCTAGATGCTGAGCCACGTAACTAATGTCAGCTATTCTGCAGATGTTCAGAGGCACATCCCAGCATCTGATACAGGAGTCTGGCAAATAAAGTGACAGCAAAAACCCTGGTCCACTGTCTTCTCCTCTCCCTTTGTCTTTCAGTCTAGGCCTTATTCTTAGAGGTCCCCGAAAAGAGGGTTAGAGCCAAATTCCAAAACAAAATCCTAATGCTTCCACAGGTACTTGGGGTTGAGGCCAATTTAAGGAATTTCAAGAGTAATTCTGACTATGCTCAAAATTTAAAGATCAAATCAGAATTGCTACTCTACCCCTCACCTAAGCATGGGAACCCACAGAACTTGATCAGTTGAGTATATACATTATCTGGAAGTACTTCCATGATGACCCAACCAACTCAATAACTGTTTTATTGTCCTTATTCTAGATCTAACCACTAAAACCTTCAGAGAAAGAACTTGTACTAAAGCAAAACACCATTTTATAAACCACACAGTCTAATTTCCTCTTTCTTGGTCTCAGACAGATGAAACAGGTACTTTTGGCTATTACCTATAAAATGTCATCAATTGGAGGGTAAAGGGTTAAGCAGATTTTCCAGATGACTGAAGAACAGTTCCTCACCTTGATCTTTAGAAAACATTTCCATATAAGATCAAGAAAATTATATAACTCAGGAGTCTGTGCTCAGATTGTTGATGTATCCATACTTTTGCTCTTTTAAAGGAACAGCAGAACATGAGTGGGGTATACCAAGTCAGACTGCATGCGGCACTCTACACACAGGACCCCCATTCCTTAAAAAATTTTAACTTAATTTAAAAAGAGACTTGATTCTATACTGGAAAATTCACAAATAAGTATACTTTGTTTTAAGCCAAAAGCTATCTTTAAGGTATCTATCACTTTTCACAATTTCTCACTTAACTTTTCAATTAATGACTACTCAAGTTAGATAAGGTTTCTCCTGTAAATTTCATAATTCATAATTACAAATTCACCCCACATTCTATTCTATCTGGAGACCAGGGTTCCCAAGACTAGAGTCTGATATTAATTAACATCCCATTGTGAAAGTACCTCCCTTTTCCATTCTAATCCAACACCTCTGTTTAAGTCAAGGAGACAGTTGCAATACTATAGAAATGTCTCCAATCTTGCTATTTGAACAAATTATATTTAGGCTCTTCAGCACCAATAACACTTTTGTTTACCACCAACAGGTATTTAGTGTATAGCTCCACTTTATTCACCACAAAATCAAGTTTACTTTTTAAAGATAGGGTTTGTGTAAAAGAGTGGACTGAAGTAAAAATACTAAGCAAATACTATGAGGTGTTAAGAGAGTAAAACAAAAACTGGGGAAGGAGCAGGCAAGCGATTGAAATTTGGCAAACATTACATTAAGCTATACTGCCAAAGAAGATGAAAAGCTAAAGAAATTCTCCCACCAAATACCAACGCAGAACATTAGAGCTTCTTCTAGGGATTGAAAAATATTTGTGGATGCAAACGGTACTCCTGAAAGCTGCTGGCTCTTCCTCTACCCCCACCACGCGGCCACAGCTGGGGCATTTGTTTTACACTTGCAGGGGCTGCGCCTGGTAGAGCCTGCAGACCATCAGGAGAGCATGGGAGTCAGGCTCCTCAATTGAGGCCTGTGTGGCCAGTAGTGGGTAAACATGGGTCCCAACTTCAAATCCAGTCCTACTAGGTGGTAAATGTGCACTTGGGCAGGTTGTTTAACGACTGAGACTCAAGTCCCTCCTCTGTAAAACAGGTATCATATCTACCTCCCAGAGTTCGTTCATGCAACAACTGTTTATAGGGCAGCTACTACGCGCCAAGCTCTAGAAATTAGCAGTTATAGATGCAGTTTCTGCCCTGAAATAGCTTATATTTCAGGGAGAAAGAAACAAACCAATATAAAAAAAGTCAAGATATCTTTACAGACATGCATTCCATCCTAGAAGTTTAATAGAATAACAGGGATGCTCTTTGTTTGGAATACTCTCTGAATAACATTTAAATGAGCTCTGGAAGAAGAAAAGGAACCAGGAAAATAAAAGTGGTGGTGGTGGTGGTGTTTTGCAAGTAGAGGGAATCCAACCTGCAAAGGCCAGGAGCTGGCAGCAAGGCTGTGGTAACTCCCAGAGCAGAGACATAAGTACCTGGACAAGGAAGACAGGTGGTCCAGGATGAAAGAGGTGGGGAGTAGGAGGAATAATCGTGTTAAAGATACTGGGTTTTATTCGAAGAACGATAGGACCCCACTGAAGGCTTTAAAAAGCAGGGGAGTACCTTGGTCCGATTTACTTTTTAAAGCAGTATCACGTTCCCTGCAATTCTGTATGGAGAATGGTTCGGAGGGAGACAAAAGTCGAAATGAGGGGTCTCTGGCAGGAGCTCGGGGAGCTGATGAAGGCGATGGGGAGGGAGTGAAGTGGATTGACTCGGGGTACGTTGAGGAGGTATGGACGGCTAACTTTACTGTGCGCTTACCTCGCGCCAGGCACAATCTCAAGCACTTTCCCGAGTATAAACTCATTTCACTATCGCAGTAAGCCTATCCTAATTATCACGACTGTTTTCATTTATGGGAAAACTGAGCACAGGAAAGTAAGCATCTGGCACAGGGTTAGCGCTCAACAGGCTCTAGGTATCACTAACTGCCGAGACCACCCACCGATTACGTGGAGAAGCCAGAAAAAGAACCTGGGCAGGGGGACCCCTCACATCCACTGTCCCGGCAGGACTCGGGGCTCTGCAGTGCCTGCTGCTCGCGCCTGGAGATACTGGTACTGGAGGCAGCCGAGGCCCAGAGAGGAACCTACCTAGCGTCTTTACAAGATGCTCCGCTTCCCTCGAGATCCGCCTCCAGCCCCGTCGGACACTCAAGAATTCTCCGGACTCGAGCGGCCCGCGCACCGCGACCAGGCCACAAGGAGCAGGCTCTTGGGCCCGCTCCCTCAGCCACTAAACACGCTGCCAGACCCCTGAGCCCGCAAAAGTTCAACTCTCCCCTGAAGTCCCGGAATCCCGCCGCTGCCTGGGACCCCGCCCCTCCGCAGCTGCCCGCGCCTGCGCGCAGTTCAAAAGCTCTGGGCTGCGGCGCCCATCTCGTGGTCCCGCCCTTCCCCTTCCGGGACTTCCGCAGCTGGGTCCTAAAGACTGCCGGATGCTGAGGGACTGTCGGGGCCTCCCCCAGGGAACGCGGAGTGTGACCCTGAATCCTCCCAAACTCCGCTCACCTCCTGCCTACCTCTCCTAAAAGGAAGAGAAAAAGAAATGTTCCCTCGTTCTCCCTTAGTTAATTAGCAAAACATCTCCTTTACAGGGATTCTCATATACAGCTTCAGGCTCTCTGGGCTCATAGGAGTAATTAGCGTGTTAAAAAGACTGGGTTTTCTAACAAAGTGTTAAAGACGCTGGGTTTATTACTCCCTGGGCTCGAGGCTGGGAGTTTATTTTAAAGGCAGGAAAGGATCAGCTAAATTCGAGGCGGCTGAGGACTGAGCCAGTGTCCCGGGAGGGGCGCGCTCACCTAAAGCAAGTTGTAAAACCTGCTGTAAAATAAAAGGTTAAGTGAGCTCCCATCGGACTCAATCCCGAATGCGTTTCTTCGTTGAAACAGCTGTGTGCCTGCGTGTGCTTTTTCAATCTTACTGATTGGCCAGAAGAGAGAGGTCTAAAATAAACTCTTGCAAAATCCTCCCCAAATTCCTTGTCTTTAATAAGGATGTTAGCTATGGAATTCGGGCTTAATGCTGTTTATACTATTTGTTTTCGGAGTTTCATTCAAACCAGGCTCCTCTTCCAAAATACTGAATGAAATAACTTTGTGTAATCGTCCAAAGGATCGGTTCATTTATTGAAAGTCTTTGTGACACTCAGTGCCAGGTGCTAGGGTTATCCGGAGGATGAAACAGACGTATAATGACTACCCCCAAAGACTTGCTCATCTGCACTGGAATCCTGGACTTGGCTCGTTTTGTTTGGTTCTTTTAATGCTTTCTTCACACAGAACCACAGATCAAAATTAAGAAAAGCAACTTACTGCAAGGTGTGGGAGAAGAAAATGAAAGGAATCCCGTGGTACACATTGAAACAGCTCCTAGGTGAGTTCTCAGTACCCAGCGGCGCTCAAGGAGTTAAGCGAACTAGGTGGGCGGAGTCCAGGCTGGGGGCGGGCCTGGGAGCCTCTCCGCCACAGGCTGTTCCAAGGAAACGTTCTTAGGCTTCTGGCTAATAGAACTGCGGGATCAACGCCAGTGGCTCCCAGGCCGCCCAATGGGAGAAGACATTGGAGGTGCCAGCCAAGCTCAGCCTTCTGAGCTGTGAGAGTGGCGGGAGGGCTGCGGCTGACTGGGCTCTGGTCGCTGAGGTCGTGCGTTCGTCTGTTCTGACTCGGTTGTGGCGGTCGCGATGTTTTTCTCCGAGGCCCTGGCCTGGCCGCGGACGTGGGAAGCCAGCCCGTCAGAACACAGGAAGTGGGTGGAAGTAGGTGTCCAGAGGCTGAGGCTGAGTGTCGGACTTCAACGTAACTCGGGCTCTCAGTTCCATCACCCTCCTGGGTCTCACTCGGCTTCGTTGCACAGACAAGGACTGGACTGTCCTTCCAAAGTGTCATGGTTAATGACTGAGCCTAGGGTTGCAAGGCTTCTGGCTCCCTGTCCATTGTTCTGGCTACTTCCAAGTTCCTTCTCTTCATCTCCCCGCTACATAACCTCCAGTCTGTGCTTCCTCCCGCCTTGCAAAGCCAGCCCCTTTGCCTCACCTTCCTAACCTCGAACTGGATTTGGGGTGAAATGTATCCCAATGGTTTAAAAGAATTTGTGTCAGCTTGGTGATTAAGGCGTTTACGCCAGTCTGGGGTAAATTTTTAGCACATTAAGATTTCTTGAGAATTAAAATTGATAAAACAAAACTCCACTTCCGAGCCCTACTGCTCAGCTGAGTTTTAGATTTTGTCTAAATTTAATATAAACTAGAAATAAAAATAATAGAACAAAAGGCTTCTATCTTATTAACTAAAGCTATTTTATGTTCTTTAGGTATTTAATGCATGTGATGAAGATAACAAAGGCTATCTAAGCAGGGAGGACTTCAAAGTTGCTGTTGTCATGTTGTTTGGGTACAAGCCCTCCAAGGTAGGGCTTTCTTTATATACTTGATGAATTTTAAGGAAAGTGGAGAGCCCCGCTTAGGATTATATAAACTAAATTGCTGCCTTATAAGCACTATCAGAGATATCCAGTGCTAAATTTTTCTCTTTCTTCTTAACCCAGTTCAGGGATGAATTAGAGTCCATGAAGTCCATCTCACCACCAGACTGCTAATAATGAAAATCAATGCTAGCAAAGTGTCAAGAGGGAACGCTATGCCCTCCTTAGACCAAACAACTTGGCAGTCACTTGGCCCAGCTGTTCATCATGAGTGGCCTCTGTCAGATTGCAAGCCCAGGGAAGCCAAGAACCACTGGTCTCATTTCTGCAGGCTTTTTTAATGCTTTTACTAGGTTTTAATTTTAGAACACAAGTGAGATATTTAATGACAGAAACGGGTGTGCTAACATGAAAGTACACGCCATGATGATGGAATTACTGATAGTTTTATTTTTTTTCTTTGTACTCTTCTAAACACTAGATTTGTTATGAGGAAAAACATTTTTTTCAACTTTTTATTTTGAAATAATTTCAAAATTACTGGTATAAACTGAATGTTTGTGTCCTCCCAAAGTTGGTATGTTAAAGCGTAATCCCTACTGTGATGGTATTTGGAGGTAGGATGTTTGGGACGAGATTAGATCATGGGAAAGGAAGAAACCCTGATGAATTAGGTTAGTGTCCTTATAAAAGAGACACAGTTTAAAAGGAGTTGTCCATGAACAGGAGGACACAGTTAAAAAGGCAGTTGTCCAAAAAAAAGAAAGTACACGCCATGAAATTTAACGGATTTTTACTTTTATTTTCATACCTAGTTGAGGTTTTGGATTTTATTTTTCAATCAATTGATTATTGACTGCAGACCACTGAACAGTCTCTGATACAGCAAATAACCTATATACTTATCAACTACTTGTACAATGAACTTTTATTAAATAAATAACAATGTATACCTTCTGTGAAAATTTAACAGATTTTTTACTTTTATACCTGGTTGAGGTTTAGGGCTTTATTTTTGAATATTACTTTTGAGCAAATGAAATATTTACTGAATGCAAGGCATGAAGCAGTAAAATATTTCTATAATCGTTTATGCAGTTGTTTACACAGTGAAATGTATGTATTAAGTGTTCCTGTTTAATAAAAGGAATACTTGCTAGTTGGTGGAGATACAAAGATGAATAAAACATAGTCCCTACTTTGAAGCAGTTCACAATTTAGTGTAGAAAAATTTATAAAACTGATAAATACTAAGAACAGAACAGAAAGTGAAGGGGACCAGGAGGAGGGTCTTCTAATTCTCTTGGGAACTAGAATAGGAGTCTGGACCTCATTCAGACTAGACAAGATAGACTCTTCTGATTCCAAGTGTCTGGGTGGAGATGTGAGAGCTGGAGATGGATTTGGGACTCCTCAGTTTACACACAGGTAGTAGCTCACAACATGAGACAGGCTAGTGTTGCTGAAGAAGAGTAAGCAAAGTGTGAAAGTCAGTAGTGTGTGGATAGAACATTGGGGTACCAACATTTAAGGGTAGTCAGGCACTCAATGAAGAAGATGCAATGGGGACCATCTGGAAGCAGGAAAGTGCAGGGCATGGAATCCATGGTGGACAAGCTATGTCAGGTGCTGCCTAGGTTCTAATTCCACAATGCTTATAATACCCTTGTATCAATGTGAGAAATGCTTATATTTTAATATGCAGCAAAAGCAGGTCCCCGAACTTTATATATGGTGTGTTCTCAAATACATTTAAAAATGCATAGGAAAAAAAATAGGTGGCCTAGATCAAAATGTTAACAATGATTTTTATTGGGTGGCTGGTTTTTCAGTGTTGTTTGTCATAATGTTTTTAAATCTTCCTCTTTTCTACATCATGTTATTCTTATAATCCGAAAAAATAAAGCCATAGAACCTATTGTAACAATTGTTTGTATTTATCTAAAGTGGAAAAACTACCTTTTATGTTATGCTACATATGTGACAGCCAAGTTGATTTTATAATCTTAAACTGTTTTGGCCAATGGAATGATGTTTTAGAGGCAATTAGAGTCTGAGCAGACTAGCATCTGATATCTTACAGATATTGATAGAAGAATAAAATGACTATTATAGTTGTTCTATGACATTACTTGTCTGCCGGGCTCAACCAAGTTGGTTTCTCATAAAATAAATTTCTTCCCCCACATCCTGAGAATTAAGAATTTAACCTATGAAAGCGTTTGGTGAAATTTTATGTCCTATTCTTTTCTTTTCTAGATAGAAGCTGATTCTGTGATGTCTTCAGTAAATCCAAACACTTCTGGTAATATGAAAGTTGATATTAATTTTTAGGTCCTTTGTTTAGACATTCATAAAGCTAAAATAAGAACAAATATAAAAATTATAGAGCATTATGCTCAAACACCTCTTTGTTCTGTTTCAAAGAAAGAATATTCCATACTTTTAATTTTGATTCATGTCTTCATAAGTATATATTTATTGTAGGAAGATTTTACATCATTGAAAAGCATAAAGAAAAAAGTGTTGAGTGTGATTTTGACATTCCGTGGACGATCTGGGTTTTCTGACTTGAATAATGGGAGTGTCTCTTACTGAAGTGGAAAGACTGGTAATGGGGAGACTAGGAGTTCAGTTTTGAATAGGCTTAGTTTGCCTTGACATTGTTGATTGAAACTTCTCAGTCAGGCTGTATGAATATGGAATTTAGAGGAAAGCTCTGGGCTGAAGAAATAAATTTGGGAGTTAGCATGTAGATGGTTTTGAAAGGAATGGATGAGACCACCTGTTGAGACAGAGTAGATGGAGAACCGTAAGAGCTCTAAGCATTAGGAGTCAGGTAGAGGGTGAAGAAATGGCAAAGGAGAGTTAGGGGCAGGAGGAAAATCAAGAGTGTGTGATTACAAGCCAAGAGAGAGGGATGCTTCAAGAAAGGGTGTGATGAGCACCATCAAATACTGTTGAAAGGTCAAGTACTGAGGAGGATCCATTGGAGTTGGCAATCTGGGAGTGGGGAGGTGTTTGGTGACTTTAGTAAGAGCTGTCTGAGTGTGTGGTGAGGCTAGCATCCAGCCTGGAGGGGGTTGAAGATAAATGAAAAGTGAGAAAGTGTGACAATGTGAATAAAGTCTTTCAGCGGGTTCAGGGTGGCTGCAGGTCAGGAGGGGATTTATTTGTTTTTGTTTGTTTTGGGAACGTGAAGATCTTTCTTAGCTTAGCAGAATGATCTAGTGAAGCAGGAAAAGGAGGGCAGATGAGAGAGAATGAGGAATACCTGCTATTGGAGAGCTCAAGTCTAGAGCATGCTGGATTGGCTTTTTAAAATTACCATTTTGGGGGGAAACAATTTAAAGCTTACACAAAGTACAAAATAAAAATATGCAGAGAATAGCTATACGCCCTTTACCCAGATTCATATATTATTAACATTTTACCCCATTTGCCTTCTCATTTGCACTTTCTACCACTGCTTGCTCCTCTCGCTGCCCTATATATAAACATAGAACACTCAACTTCATAAGTCCATAGATTCTGTATTTTTAGCTAATTTACTGCCTACATCCCAGTGTTGTCACTTGACCTAACAATGTCCTCATTCAGTGCAGGAATTAGCCTTTGGTGCCACGTCTCTTCAGCATCCTTTAATCTGGAACATTTCTGTATATATATATATCACTTTTAAGGAAATAGCTCACCCCTCTCTGTTTCATTTTATTTTTTAGTAACAGTCTTCATTTTGTGTTTGCTTGATGTTCCTCTTAAACGAAGTTGGGGTTCAACATTTCTGCCAGGATGCTGTTTGGGTGATAGGTCCCTCTCGAGGGGCCGCATCTGGAGGCACATGGTGTCCATCGTCCCCATAGATGAGGTTAATTTTTATCACCAGGCAAGATGTTGTCCAGTTTCTCCATTATATTATTTCTATTTACATTTTCTTCCCTTGCAGCTGTAAGAAAGACATGCTTAAGACTGCCAGTATTCTGCTTCTCATCAAAATTTCCCCTTAGATTTGGTAACCATTCATGATTCTTGTCTGATAAAAAAAATTTTGCCATAGTGGCTGCAAAATATTGATTTTCTAACCCCATGCTTCTTTCAGTAAGCCCTTGGCATTTTACTACGAGCAAGAGACCTCCCTTCTTGACCCATCCATCCGTCTATTATCATCATGGACTCATGAATTTGCGTGTTTTTAATGATTTGTAATTCATTACTTTACCTAATTATTTTAGTGTTCAACTTGTCACAGACTTAGCCGTTACGTGCCTCCTCCAGCTGGCCCTTAGGTCCTTTTGCCTGGTTTGAGTTTTTCTTTCTTTTTAAAGCCTTTTTATTTGTTCGATTTACAAAAGAGCTTACTGCATTTTTGTTTTCATATACAAGGTTTGGCATCACATATGTAACATGATCTTTAGAAAAATGTTATTGTTAGGAGAATGTGGTTTTTACATACTCCCTAACTTGGTGGAATTTTTATTCCATTCCCAGGTTTTTAATTTCTTATTAAAAATTGTAACACTTTTCAAAATATTCAAATACCATTTCTTTGAAGTCCAATTAGTTGTAATTTCGTGGTGAAGCCCTCCCGTATTTTTCCTTTGGGTTTCTATGTGAATATTCAGTCTACAAAGATTTGTCTTCTGGCAGAAAGATTTCCCACATTTTTTGTCTTGATAAAGTTTCTCTCTGTTAAGAGTCCCCTGATAGTGATTCTGTCTGGATGAAGGTCTTCCCCTGCTTATATTTATCTCTGTTCCTCCATTTTGTGACGTTTTCTATATAACAAATGTGGCTGTAGCAGAAGGCACTTTCCTATCATTATTCTCATGGATTTTCTCCCTTATTTATGTTCTCTGATTCCGAGTTAAGGATTTGCTGTCACACAGGTTTTCTCTCTTTAACCAGTTCTTTGAGGTTCAGAGAGGTGTTCCTCTGTACGACAGTCTTTACAGGTGTGAATTTTTTGATGTAAAGGTTGACTTGCGACAGAAGTTCTTCCCCCACATTCAATATTATAAGCCACCCCCCACCTCTGCATGCATTCATATTTACTGAGATAGGACTGCCTAAAAGGTTTCCCCACGTGTGTTTCTACCATGTGGATTGTCTCCCGTTTGGGTAATTTGAAGTACATTGAAGGGTAAATTCTGGCAGAAAGTTATCCCACCTTCCTTACATTCTAAAGGTTTCTCGGCGTGAGTGCTCTGATATGAAGTGAGGACGGACTGGTGGCAAAAGGCTGCTTCAAGTCTCCCATCGTTAGTTTCTTTCTTTGTATTTTCTTCTTTTCTAATGTTTGAGAGCAGTTTGACTTCTGGTGTAAGATATGTCCATGAAATTTACAAACTTCCCTTTATAAGTTCTCTACTTCGTGAACTTTGACTTCATACAGAAAGATTTCTTCCATTTGTTGCAGGCATGGAGCTTACTTTTAATATTAGTTCTGATGTACTTTGGAGCTTTAAGCTTGAGGCCAGAATTCCTCTACATTCATGTGGTCTCTCCCATCATATATAATGAAGGCTGCCTTATTATGGAACATTTTCTCAAATTCAGTATGGTCTAAGGATTGCTTCAAAACTGGAAGTTTTGATACTGAAAATATTCTTTCCTGTGAGGGCTGTCTGACTGTGACCTGCTCCCGAACCTGTTCTCATGTGCATTTCCTTGAGTTCAATATCCAGGCTATTAAATCTGCTCTCACATCCACTTCTCAGTCAAATCATTGGGATGCTGCTTTTCACAGTATCTTTTCATAATAATTTTAAAATACATTTTAAAAGGTTACAAAGTCATCTGAGAAACTCAAGGGAAGATTGGGTAAGAGGAATGAGATCAAAGTGTAGATGCTTGGCACCTTGCTCCAAAATTACTGTGGAAGGAATCTCCTTCGTCTACAAGCTTCCAGTCTTTCCTCTTTCTCTTCTGGTCCTGATATCAATGGCAAATTACCTTCTCAAAGCATCACTTTCTTTTATGATTAAAGGAATAGACTTATAGCCAGAGTACTACTTTTCCTACTAGCTTCAATTTGCCTTCATTTGCAAGGGGAGACTCAAAACCACAAACGTCCAGAAGAGTAGCGTAGCCGTCCTAGCAAGAAGTCAGTGCTGAGCTCTGTTTGCTGCCAACATAAATTTTTTTTGTTAGATCTGTTCAATACTGAACCAGTTTCAGACCATCCACTCCTCCATTTCTGTTCTACGAGTCACATTTACAAGTTATTTTCCTGTAGGAACAGGGTTTAGGAAGAGATTGAATGTTTTTCCAAATATATCTTTCTCTTTAATGTTTTGATCTTGAGGAGGAACTAAAATGTGGGCCTTGGCTTTCTGGGAGCCATTTATTCAGGTAACTCACTTTCCAGATTTCTCCAGGAAACTGTGACATGGGAATTCTCCTGCTAGATAGGTCGTCTTTTTTCCAGACAAGTCTGGGCCAGGTCCCCAGCATGCCACCCCAATGGATTCTCAGAGCAGGGCCCACATTGCTGCATGGCTTCCTGGGTGGGGTCCAGATTCACATCCTGGGTTGACCCTGACTCGGCAGTCCTGACAATGCACACACTTTACAAGGATTGAAACCCAGACACCCAGATCCATTTCCCAAGAGCTGCTGGTCTCTCTAAAAGGTGGGTTGTTCCAAGGTTCCTTGTGAGAAGAAGAGTGAAAAGTTAAGTCAAGCCTTTAGGAGTAAGAGTGAACTGTGTCAAGGGAAGTCACAGTGGCAGAATTTGAGAGCAGCCAGAGTAAGTAGCAAGGCAGCATGTAATGACATATTTAATGCCTATATCCCAACAAGCAAGCCAGTATCAGCAAAAACTCTTTAGGTACCAGGATCAAGGAATTGTATTAGTGGGAGGGGAAAAATTCAAGCCACTTGTTCAAGGAAGCAGTGGATCACTGTTGGAGCTGGTTCTCATTTGCACTGTGGCTACCTCTCTTAGTAGTTTTATTTCATTACAACCTTTGTTCTCTGTGATACATTTCATATCTTCTCTAAGTATGGAGAATGAAAGAAGTGTGCAAGTAGAAGAGACCTAGAAAACTGCCATCTCTCCCCTTTTTTAAAATGAGGAAACAACTCCAGAGAGGAAAAATGAAATATCTTAATCCTGGCATTTGACAGTTTATTTGTTTACAAAAAATGTTTACATGTGTTACAGCATTATTATAATAATAACTACAGCTACAACTTCCTGAATGCTTACCATGTGCAGACCCCGTGATGAGCATTATGCATGGATTGTTAAATTTAATACAACTCCATGATATCAGGGTTGTCTCCATTTTGTAAGTTTTAAAA